TATGTCCACAGCTGGGGCACATGGCAGATATGACTACAGTGAACGAGAGCAGTGGGAATGTGAGAGGTGTAATAAGGGGTGTGTGGGAAGAGAGCTCAGGTGTTATACTCTAATCTTTCATTAGCGATGTCATCTCTGAGCTCAGTGCGGTCTCACACCCTCAGCATGACGATGATGCTGCAGCAGCAGCAGCGATAAATTCATCCAAACAGAACGGTGAAGGTAGCCTTTCATTGCTACATTTGATGTATAATGCTATTCACTTTTCAAAGTGAATCACTCAAGTGTTTCCTTTCACAAAGGTATCCAACTTCAGTGTGCTTGCTTTTCTTTGATTTAATTCGGACTTTCCATTATTATATTGCGTCTGCTCTGTCCATTCTCTCTCCATCTGCTTGTGGCTCACATTCATTCTCCCTCTCTTCCGAACGGTGCAAAAGAGGTCATAATTGATGCTCTTTGTCATGATTGCAGCAGGGACTTATGTGCTAATTATTCTTATTCACGAGTCATAATAATTGGACACGTTTCCCATAATTACGGCTTCGCCTTTCACAGTCATGACACGATTTGTCTGAATGGTATATTAATTGTCTGAAATTTTGATCGGTTACTCAACGTACACATCTTGATGTGTCGAATGTATGGCGAGGAAGTAGTGATCTGGGGGAAATGGGTTATTTTGTGTCTTTTCCTCCCCCCAAGCCTTGCTAATCAATTCTCACACGGCAGCAGTAACTGAAATTATGAATGGAAGCAGCATTGTGGCTGATTACACGGCAGTCTCATGAGAACAAGATCTCTGCTGTTTTTCTTGTGCCTGTGTGATTATAAATAGATGTAAATAAATATGTGATTTTTGTGGTCTGCCAAGCCATATGTTTGTATGTATTTATCGCAAATAGATGTGGCAGACTGTGGAAACGCAGAGGCGATCTGCTTCATATCATGTGTTGTGTGTGGTTCTGGGTTTGATGCTGTTTTTTTGTCGACCTCAGTTTTAAGTATGGCAGAGGCATCACATAGAAACAGACACTAAAAGCTGCCGACTGTCTTGTGAGTGACTCTCAGGCTGATTAGTTTGACATATAAAAGAACAGTGTAGTTCATACTGCCTCAGTTAATGTTTCTGGGGCCTGCAGAGGTGGAGTTGAACCCCTCAGGGCTGTTCAGTTCTCGCTGGCTTTCTGTGGGCAGTCATGTGAACTGCAAAAAATGACGGCCTGTTATTAATCAGTAACACTTTTGGCACTGTTTTTGGGGGAGGAGTATAATAATTCTTTGTTTGAGGAGAAGTAATGATGTTTTGTTAAGCAGTGAATGCTGTAATGCAGTGGTTCTCAACTGTTTTTTCCCCCTCCAGGACCCAGATATACCCAAAATGTCACTAAAACAAAATATTTCAATTATATTATTATGAACTGCATAGGCCTAAGAATATGCAGCATTAGTGAGTTTTTTCTTTCTAGATGTTTCATGCTATGGGCAGCCAATAATTATTTGCACGGTGATAAGTAAAAGTATGTATTTTTGCTACACTCTGCATAATTATATATACATTTATATTGTTAGGTGTATTCTTTTTTTTTTTTTAACGAAAAAATACTTTTATTCAGGAAGAATGGATTAAATTGATCAAAAATAACAGTGAAGACATTTAAAATATTACAAATAATTTGCTTTTCAAATAAATGCTGTTCTTTAAACTTTCTATTCATCAAAGAATCCTGACAAATGTATTCAAATGTATTCTGTTTTCAACATTTGATAATAAATGTTTCTTGCACCAAATCAGCATATTAATATGATTTCTGAAGGATCACGTGACTCCGAGGACTGGAGTAATGATGCTGAAAATCCAGATTTACCATTACAGACATAAATTACATTTTACAATATATTAAAATAGAATTTATTTTAAATTGTTATAATTTCACAATATTACTGTTTTACTGTGTTTTGATCAAATAAATGCAGCATCAGCAGCCTTGCTGAGCACAAGAGACAGAACATCTTTCTGACACAAATCATTTTATACTACATTTGTAGTGCTCTAGACAGTAGTGCATAATAGTCCATGGTACAAATGTACTGTACATTCGATACACATACTTCATATTACATACAAAAGACTGAAGTATAATATATGTATTTATACCATACACTCTCAGAAAAAAAAGGACAAAAGCTGTCACTGGGACACTACCTTTTCAAAAGGTACACCTTTATACCTTATTTACCCCTAAAGGTTGCATATTAGTAGTACATAAACGGTACATTTGAGTACCTTTTGAAAGATAACCAACTCAGTGATGGATGATACAGTTTAACTTAACAAGGCTTACTGCATATTTCTGCACATTTTTCAGGGCACAGGTTAATTGCTGTAGCAGGAATGAAATTTACAGAGCATTGAACATGGTAGTTAGTGTATTTTACTGTGTGGAAGTATCGTTAGTTTCTAGTTATTGCATACTAGATTTGTAATGCAATAGTACATTTATCGTGCATATTAGGTTTATAGTTTATAGTACACCAGTAGTGCATACAGTACTAGATGTAGAGAATATTAAATATTATTGTAATTATTGTAAGTGTTCCCATGCAGCATTCTCTAAGCAGCATTTTTTTTAAATTACATAAATATTTCTAAGTTATTAGTATAAGTTAGTAGTGCAGTAGTATACAATATTGCTGCAATGTCGTTAGCTACTTGGCAACCTACATTTCTGAAGTTTTAAAGCTTCCTTTATACTGGCAATGTGATAAAGCACCATTAAACAGCGATTACACGGCTAGAAAAGAGGCGTTTGTGATCTGTTAATATGACTTTGTGACAAGGGCTGCTGGCAGAGACAGGAGCTGTAGTAATGAAGTCTTGGACCCAGTTTACACAGGTTAATGTCACATGATGCTTTATTCCCTGCTGAGACTCGACTGAGAGTGCGGAAACAGACTGTTGCCTCCATTTTTCACAGTTTCAGTCCCAGATTCTTGTATTGATCAAAATAAACTTCATTACTTCACTGTGTGAGAAGAGATTAAATAAGAGATTTTCATCTTCTCCATCTGCTTTTATCAAGTTATTTTGTCGTTATGGTTTTCTGATTAATACTTTTACCCTTACCTGTGGCCATAGATATTAGACTAGTTTCCTTTTTGAAAAAAGAAATGTGCTTCTTTTATTTGTATTAAATTTGCAGTTGTAGTGCACTTCAAATCTTACATGTATATTTAAAAAATGTACTTGTAGATAATATATTAATAAAATAAAGGCCAAGTGTTCTTAAAGAGAGAACACTCTCATGACTTGTTTCTTAATGCATTTTAGTACACTTTGTGATGTCAAATGAAAACTTTTACTTTAAAGTCAATTTTGAATCATTATGCTTTAATTATCATTTGTCATAAAGCAGTTCGCTTATTTTGATGTGTAGACTAACATACTAAAGTACAAGTACTTGATTATAACTTTAACTGTGTGGTATTCATTAATAAATTTAAAGTTCACATATAAATTTACTAATTTGCAGCTTCTTCACTACAAATGTCTAATTACAAAATATTTATTATTAAATTAAATAACGTTAAACATAATGTATACATTTTAATAGAAATGACATTAAAATACATATTTTAGTTTACAGTAAGTCCTAGTCGGTGTATATAGTACACATTAACCATATTTCAAAGACAATTAAAGTAATTATGAAATCACATATAAAGATGTAATTAAATCCTTGAGGAAGTGGCTCAAAAAAATCATTACATTGCATTTAATACATTTTACGTTACTTGCAATTACATGAAATTAAGTTTCTAAAAACATTACACTAATTTGCACTTCACTATATTAGTAGTAGTATATTATTTCTGTGATAAGTACACATGTATTCATATACTGTATGAGTATTCAAAAATATAAATACACAAAGGTTGCTATCCCACATAATTCTCATTAACAGCTGCTTGAAACTCATATTGTATGTCATTTTTGTTATTGGTTGTGTTAAACTGGTTTTGTACAGATTATATTTTGTTTGTTTGTGCTATTTTTGTATTTACAGTCTATCAGCTTATCTAACAGTTTACACCTGATAAACGTCTTTAGTTAGAATCACTCGGATTGCAACATGCAAAATTCTACGTTTACAATGCGTTTATGTATTTTTTGCACTGATGTGACATTAGAAAACGGCTGAGATTTTCTATCCTTGCTTTACTCAAAAGGGATTTTTCTATGAGGGCTACAAATCTGTACTGCAGAGGCTCACCATGCGAACAGGGTTTAACCCATTTTGATGGCTATGCCATATTGCATTATAAATTATTAACAGCCAAGGCAGCCCTGCATTATGTCTGCTAAATTATGTTTGCTAAATTATGCGTACTGCACGATTGTCCTCTGGTTTTATAGGTTTTTCACTGTGTGTGTGTTTGTGAGCATCTTTGCCTCGTATAGGTGTGGTTAACATAAAGCATCCGGCGCTGTGAGGTAACGCTTCTCCTCCTGCTTGGTCAGGGAGTCTCTACAGGCTCATTGCAATGATCCAATTCATGTGATGTTGCTGAACTGCATGTTTGTCAGTTATTCCCTTATCACTTCCCGAGGGATGAAAGCACTGCCCCCCTCCTATCTCTCCATGCTTTTGCGATTCAGCGTTACTATGGTAACAGTGAAGACCTGCCTTTGCTCCTCTCTCCCCAAGTTCTTTAGAATCATTCCTTGCCAAAGTTCCCCCAAACAGTTTTTTGTGGCAAAGAAGTTGCGGCAGAATTCAACCTTTCTTTCTTCTCTATCTTCAGGTTTTTTATCAGCAATGACCAGAACTGACAAAAAGTAAGACTATACACACACAAAGGCATCAACACAAGCTTCTCCATTGTGGTCGACCGGTGAGAGCAGCAGAGAAACGGGGTGTAAACGAGTGCAGGAAGGAGAAAAGGAGTGTGCGAGGACAGTCGATGGATGCTGCCCGGATTGAAGGGACAGCACATTCTCATCTGACGAGGAAAAGAAAGATTTCAAAATTGAGTCGAAGGACAGAAACTCAGCATCAGGTAAGCTTGTCCAATCAGGTAACAGTGTTAAAGGGATAGTTCACCCAAAAATTACAATTCTCTCATTAATTACTCCCCCTCATGTCGTTATAAACCCGTTAGATCTTCGTTCATCTTCGGAACACAAATTGAGATATTTTTGATGAAATCTGAGAGCTTTCTGACCCTCCATAGACAAGGGTACTACCACACTCAAAGCACAGAAACGTAGTAAGGAGGACATCGTTAATATAGTCGCATAGGGCCTACATGTGCATTCCTCTGCTCGTAAACAAGGCGCAGCACATGCGTCGTGGTACTCTCCATAATGGAGGTGGACTTTCCTGGGAAAGAAGAAATTGTTGAATAAAGTCATTATTTTTGTTTTCTTTGCACATAAAAATATTATCGTAGCTTCATAAAATTATGGTTGAACCACTGATGTCCCATGGACAATTTTACCAATGTCCTTACTACTTTTCCGGGCCTTGAACGTGTCAGTTGCGTTGCTGTCTATGCAGGGTCAGAAAGCTCTGGATTTCATCAAAAATATCTTAATTTGTGTTACGAAAATGAACGAAGGTCTGAAGGGTTTGGAACTACATGAGTGTGACTAATTAATGACAGAATTTTCATTTTTGGGTAAATTTAATTCAATTTAATTTTAATTCATATTCAATAATTTAATTCAAAAAGCATTTATAATTCCAACCAATACTGGATGGTGCACAGCTCTAAAATCTATACACATTTTTTTATTATCAAGTGGTTTTATATAACTGTTATATAACTGCTGCACCGGTTTTCCAAGATTGACCACTACAAAACCCTCATTTTGGTAAATGCATTTTCATTGAGCAAGTCCAGCATTTGATAGTTATTGCAGGTTCTTATACCAGCTAGCCTCAGGATCCATTCTCAGGTTTTTACGTATTTTAACAGCCATTCCAAAATGTCCTGATGGCATTTTAAGGCATTCTAATTAAGAACTCCATATCTAATCAGATCTCTTAATTGGCAAAGCAATATTGTGTGCAGTAAAAAAGGAGAGTTAAGATTTATTAACATTTGCCTTCGTCAGGGCAGCCCTATGATGAGAATGATGAGACACTAAAAAAAAATGAATAAATACTAGGACAAAGTTTGGAAAACTGAAAATAGTACATCAAAGAGAATAACATATACTGTATGTATATGTATACATATACGGTGTGTGTGTGTGTGTGTGTGTGTGTGTACGTACTTAACCATATTTTGGGGACAAATTTGTACCCAAAAGTGAGCAAAGCCTGACAAAATCGGCAAAAACCTCAATTTATCACTTCCCGAGGGATGAAAGCACTGCCCCCCTCCTATCTCTCCATGCTTTTGCGATTCAGCGTTACTATGGTAACAGTGAAGACCTGCCTTTGCTCCTCTCTCCCCAAGTTCTTTAGAATCATTCCTTGCCAAAGTTCCCCCAAACAGTTTTTTGTGGCAAAGAAGTTGCGGCAGAATTCAACCTTTCTTTCTTCTCTATCTTCAGGTTTTTTATCAGCAATGACCAGAACTGACAAAAAGTAAGACTATACACACACAAAGGCATCAACACAAGCTTCTCCATTGTGGTCGACCGGTGAGAGCAGCAGAGAAACGGGGTGTAAACGAGTGCAGGAAGGAGAAAAGGAGTGTGCGAGGACAGTCGATGGATGCTGCCCGGATTGAAGGGACAGCACATTCTCATCTGACGAGGAAAAGAAAGATTTCAAAATTGAGTCGAAGGACAGAAACTCAGCATCAGGTAAGCTTGTCCAATCAGGTAACAGTGTTAAAGGGATAGTTCACCCAAAAATTACAATTCTCTCATTAATTACTCCCCCTCATGTCGTTATAAACCCGTTAGATCTTCGTTCATCTTCGGAACACAAATTGAGATATTTTTGATGAAATCTGAGAGCTTTCTGACCCTCCATAGACAAGGGTACTACCACACTCAAAGCACAGAAACGTAGTAAGGAGGACATCGTTAATATAGTCGCATAGGGCCTACATGTGCATTCCTCTGCTCGTAAACAAGGCGCAGCACATGCGTCGTGGTACTCTCCATAATGGAGGTGGACTTTCCTGGGAAAGAAGAAATTGTTGAATAAAGTCATTATTTTTGTTTTCTTTGCACATAAAAATATTATCGTAGCTTCATAAAATTATGGTTGAACCACTGATGTCCCATGGACAATTTTACCAATGTCCTTACTACTTTTCCGGGCCTTGAACGTGTCAGTTGCGTTGCTGTCTATGCAGGGTCAGAAAGCTCTGGATTTCATCAAAAATATCTTAATTTGTGTTCCAAAGATGAACAAAGGTTTTACGGGTTTGGAACGACATGAGGATGAGTATTTAATGACAAAATTGAATTATCACTTTAAATGATCTTCAGGCTGATGCCAAAAAAGTGAAGGAAGCCAGACATTTCTCATCTCTCCATCACTATACTATCAATATAAAAGAAATCAAATGCGAGGAAAGATAGATGGGCAGGCAGTGATGTTTCCACATCTCTCTCTCCCTTTATTTGCTTCATCTCTCGCTCTCTCCCATAGGCATGGTGTGTGAGAAGGGCATTCAGATCCTTCTCACCATCGTGGGTGCTTTCGCATCCTTCGGCCTGATGACGGTGGCTATTGGCACTGATTATTGGCTGTACTCGCGGGCACTCATCTGCAATAGCACTGGCAATAACTCACAAGAGGATCCCCATAATAAGGAGAAGAAGGACCCCGGGGCCTTGACGCACTCTGGCCTGTGGAGGATCTGTTGTCTGGAGGGTCAGCCACTGTCTTGGCTCTTGGTTACATTGTGGGGGTGGCGTCTGTGTGCAGTTATTTGAAAAAAAAAGGAGAGTTAAGATTTATTAACATTTGCCTTCGTCAGGGCAGCCCTATGATGAGACACTGTTTATACTAAAAAAAAATGAATAAATACTAGGACAAAGTTTGGAAAACTGAAAATAGTACATCAAAGAGAATAACATATACTGTATGTATATGTATACATATACGGTGTGTGTGTGTGTGTGTGTGTGTGTGTACGTACTTAACCATATTTTGGGGACAAATTTGTACCCAAAGTGAGCTAAACCTGACAAAATCTCCAAAAACCTCCCTTTGGGGACGTCCTCATTTGTAAAACTGGTATAAAAATAAAGTAAACAAGTTTTTTGTGTGTGTGTGTGTGTGTGTGTGTGTTTCAATAATTTTAATGATTAATGCTTTTTAAAACATTTACAGAATTTGATATTTCTGTAGTATTTTTTATTCTACAGGCTCTATGGAAATGATGAGGTTAATGAAGTATTTTATTCTATTGACAGCCCTAGTTTTTAAGTAAGAAATGAAAAACATCTTTGTCTGTTATCTCTTCAATTATATATACAGTACCATTCAAAAGTTTGGGGTTGGTAAAATGTATTAATGTTTTTGAAAGAAATCTCTTCAATACTCACCAAAGCTGGATTTAGTTGATCAGAAATACAGTAAAAACAGCAATATTGTGAAAAAATTATTACAATCTAAATTTCAAAAGTAAAATATTTTAATATATGTCATTTATTCCTGTGATGCAAAGCTGAAATTTCAGCATCATTACTCCAGTCTTCAGAGTCACATTAGTTTACAGAAATCATTCTAATATGCTGATTTGGTGCTCAAGAAACATTTATTATTATCAGTGTTGAACATAATGCTGTATCTAATATTTTTAAAAACCTGTGGTATTTTTTTTTTCAAATCAAATGCTGAATAAAATTAACTTATTTAAAAAATAACAATAATAATGTTACTAACCCCAAACTTTTGAACGGTGTGTATATATGTACATACAATAACTGCAGTGACGATATAAAATGTTATCTTTGTAATATCACACTATTTTCAATATTTCTATTTTAGGAAGGAGGTCACTTGAAGGGCATATTCTTATTTTAAGAGTATAAAAAACCCTGTCTTAGATTATTTTACAGGCTGGCGATGATTCCAATTGTAAAAATACTCTAATCATAAGATTTGTAATGTTTACTTTAATCATACATCAATTATAATTAATAGGATCTCTCAAGCATAACATAATGCATATTATTCAAGTATTTTCATAATCAAGTACATTTAAATCATTCTGAAAATGGCCAATATGCCTGTATAAAGGATTTCAAAAGTGTTCAATTCTTTATTTAAATAGTATTTAAGAGTAATTAACAGGCACAGTATCATAAAACATATACACGTCCTGAACCCTGCTATGGCCATTTACTGCTAAAGAGTTTTGAGTGTAGGAGTGAAGCCCAAAGAAGTCTGTAAAGGCCTAATTAAAAGGCTGAGCTGATTGCATTGAGAGGTCAACACAGAGGGACAGCAGTCGCAGTCTTAGGGGCTGTTCTAGCACCTCGTGCTCTCACTCATCCCCGTGTAATGCGCTCGCTGCTCCGCCTGCAGCCAGCCATTGTGCTCTGCTAATTTAGCCTTATGGCTAAGCTCTCTGATAACAAAGCATTCAATTAAAGATAAGCCTGGATTCCCAATCATCACAGCGGCATGGCTTCTCTCTCAGTCGTCTCTCTTTGTTTCTTTCTCCATCTCATTAAAGCCTCGCTTTCCCCTCTTTCTTTGCCCCGTCGGTCACTATAGTGTTACAGCACTCTTGGCATAGTTTATAGGTCAAGACATCCTTGCTTTCCCCAGGGATTAGAACCAAGATGGATGCTTAGTAGAAACACAATTAAGAGCAGATGAAGTGGAAAGCGGTCATTTTGGATCTGCATAATGAATGTCACAGCTAGACCGGCCCAAACAGCAAATACTGTTGGCTGTGTGATGATAGGTGCACTGATTGTCACATCACCCCGACTCGATTCTAGACACGCACGCACACACGTGCTGGGCCTTATCCTTGCCTTCATCTACGCTCCCCTGCTGCTGGAGCAATCGATAGCAGAAGCTAATGCTATTCTTAAAGCTAATGAGCTGCTTTCATGTTTATGTAGCTTATATCAAAGAAAGCAAGGCCATGGCAAGCAGGTAAATACCTGCAGGCCATACCTGCTGAGAAGTCCAGTTTAGACCAGCATGAGTATCCATACTGGCTTGGTGCTGGTCTAAACCATAGAAATATATACATAGATGCCTCATTAGCCGCTGTTTCCATGGGCTGCTATACATAAGTCATCCACCATATTGGAACGGGCAAGGCCTGTCTGTGAACACTAAAGAGACTTGATTTTGAGATGATTTTGCTAAACTAACACAATGCAACAAGACAAAGGCATTAGATAACATAACATCAAAAAGTTACCATAGTTTAAAAACCTGTAATATTGAGTTAATACATAGAAAACCACAAACCAACACATTATCACCTGAGAAAGGTTATGCCATTTCTTCGGGAATTTAAATGTTTTTATAACCACTGGCTGCACAATCTTGGAAAGCCATTGTTTTTTACTGTGAGTGATGGCATATTGACTGGAGCAGTTGAATGTATCATCTACATACACAAAATACATAAATTAATAAAAATAATAAATAATTAAAAATAAAATGTCAACTTTTTTTTATATTTTACTTTACCTAGTTGTCAAGGCAACATTTCTCACTTTTTTTACTTGATGTACTAAAATAACTAAATCTATAACCAATAAAAAATAATTACAACTATACAGGCACATTTAAAAAAAAACAAAAATAAAAAAACAGAAATAAAACTACTAAAACTTTAACTAAATTTTAAATGAGAACAGAAAATAATAATTAAAATGAATCAAAATATTAATAAAAATTATAATAGTATCTCAATTATACTAAAATAACATTTGATTGGACAGCTGGGTAAAAAGTAACAATGACGTGCTCTGCTTTTTACTCAGTGTTGAACATTTTTCAACTGACTGTGACCAGAAAAATAAGGGAAGCGTGCAGTCTTTTTTTTTAATGCAGTACATGGTGATTCCATTGCAAACAATTGAAAAAAAAAAAAATACACTGGCCTCAGCTCTTTGGTGGACACATGGCCTTATGATGAAGCCAGCTATTTAAGTGCATCTTGCTGGCAAAAAAATACAAATAAATATAAAAAATTTGGATAGATTATTACAGTGCTTTGGACTGGATTTCTGGTAAACATTTTGACCTCAAATTGTGACTCAAAATTATACAAAAAGCTGGTGATGCCTTGGTGATGTATTCAATTGTGCATGTGCACTACTCAAGGCAAGCAAGAGAAAGCTGCAGCTAGCCTGCCAAAAAGCAAAAGAATAATTGTTCAACCAATTAGTTAATTCCCCCAAATATCAAGCAGGGATGAATGACAAATACGTAAGAATTAAATGAGAACCACTGAAAGCAAAATAAAGTGCGGCACTGTGTTCTTTAAAACATGAGCAGCAAATGATCCAGTGTTTGCCGTGGCTCGGAGAGGCTCAGTCCACAGTAAAATGCTGCTCTACATGAACTCCATCTCTGCAAGTGCCTCGAGTTTGGGTCACTTATAACATGCATATATCTTCATGATAAAATCCACTGCAAATCCACATTTAAAAGCTGATATTTAAAAAAAACTAGTGCAAAAACATGTGAACTGATACACTATTGTGGTACTCAATATATTTTCCCAAGGTTGGCAGGTCAGTTGATGTGCACTTGATGATAGATACTATTGTTTAGACAAGGCCATTGCTGAAAGATGCAGTATCTCTAACAAAGAACCAAAATGGTGATGCCAGATTCTCCTCAGTGACACCTTTCCCCTTTGTGCCCTCATCTCTTTCTTACAGATTAATGTCCATGAGGAGGAATATAAAAAGACAAACAGCTGTGAAAAGAATCCCCCCCACACCTGTCCACCTGTATCTCCCTGCGTATGTCTCATCAATCCATCACATTCCCACTCCATCAATCAACACCAGTCACGATGTCATCATATTGCGTCAGTCTGTCTGTCTGTCTGCACTGGAGCGGGTAGCTATTCACTCCCTGACTGACTCCAGGCCTATCTGCATGTGTGTGTGTTTCCTATTCCACATCTTAACAAATGAACATAATGAATTAAGAGAATTAGATCTGTATCAGGCGCTACAATCCGAAAATGACTTCCCCATCTATTTTAAAGAGATTGGATTGCTGATTAGGCCATTAATTGGTATTTCAGAACTCTTGCAGTATTCCTAAATGAGATTTCAGAAGGGTCTGTCTATCTATCTATCTATCTATCTATCTGTGTGTCTGTCTATATATATATATATAATATATATATATTCTGAACAAAATTATAAACGCAACACTTTTGTTTTTGCCCCCATTTTTCATGAGCTGAACTCAAAGACTGTCTGTCTCTCATCTATCTATCTATCTGTCTGTGTGTCTGTCTATCGGTCTCTCTCTCTCTCTATATATATATATATATATATATATGTCTGTAAACCAGACACATATCCAGCTGTTGTGGTGTGTATGCAGACT